ACCGTTCATGTGCAAAAAACGTCTTCAGTCTGTTATATGCAGAAATGCTTCCTACATGATCATACATGCCTGTCTTTTTAAAAGAAAAACAACCCTTACCTGTACTCCATGTTTCGGCCATTCTGCGAACAGTGTGAATAAATAAAACATGTTTGAATTGAAAGCTAAAATAACTGTAGTGTCCTACTCTGCTCCTCTATATATTCACAAGTAGTATAGCAAAACTGAAGATAAATTATTGAAAGCTTTGCATATGGTCATTTTCAGAGTAATCTTCCACCAGCTTAAACAGAGCTCTGTCTGGGTGAGGTCTTCTTTGATGAAGCCTGGTTAAATTAGTCACTTTTGTAGTTGATCCTGAGTTTCCTAGAATTCATTTTTCTTCAGTAATAAAAATGTTTGCTTGCATATGAGTTCAGTGTTGAGTGATGATGCAATTTCTCTTTTGTTTAGATGAAGTGCAACTAGTGGAGGGTAGTTCTACAAGTGAAGAACAGACAGACCCTGGTCCAGATGCTACCAAAGCAGATGCAAATCACGCTACTGACCAAGCAGAAGAACATGAATTTACCAAAGAGATGGAGGCACCAGCCCTGCCCCCTGAAAGACCACTGGAAAGTGAGACTGACTTAGCTGACATTGCCCTTCAGAAGATTCAAGGTTCTGAGGAGTAAGAAGAGGGTAGGAAGGGATTTAAAAGTTCTGGCTGTGACCCTGCACCACAGGGTCCAAAGGAATTTGTTATGCTGCCCATGTCCGAGTTCTTACAGCATGGCTTACACAGGATTCCCTTTGCAAGACAACATGTCTCTGTTCATCATGAGGTGAAATACTGGCTCATTTGTATTTAAATACTTAAGGCTCTGTTGTAGATAGTCAAAATAGGTACTTATTATCTGATAAAAACTAGAGTGGCATAGGCCTACCTTGTGTGTATACCAACAGTAAGCATAGTAAAACTCTATGAGTATCTGTGGTTAATCAACCACTTAGTGAAAAATAAAAAGCATTTGATTTGGATTATTCATGTTTTCAGACACTAAAATTTATTTTAATTGTAATTTAAATATTTTTTTTCTCAAAGTACACAGAACTTCACTTTAACGTACTGGGAAACCAATTGTTAAATTTCTTTTTTACACCACTTCATGAAGCTTTATCTGAAGGATTCAGTAGCAGTTCAGTTTCTAAAGAGGCTTATCTGAATTCCTAACTTTTCATGACTGAATATTTTTGACTAGTGAGTGCACAACTAGTAGTGTCTGTTCGGGGGCAAATTTATTGAATGGCAGTGCTGTTTCAGATATCTCAAGCTAACTGTTAAATGTGTGTTTCAACAGAATTATTTCACTAGTGGCTTGATCAAAAATATTCTAGGTTTATTAAGGTCTAATGAAGGAAAGACCAGAATGACGTAAAATGTTTTGACTGACAAGAATCATGGCTTCTAAGTCTCAGCTTTCAGGTAAAGATTCCTTAGAGCACACTGGAATTGTTCCTTATTTCATAAATACAGAAGATGCTTAGTATTTAATAATGTTCATGCTGAACCTGGTCTTGGTGAATTACATAGAAAATTCCTGTGTGCATCGATACAACCAGAACTGATTTCACTTAGGTTTTCAACTAAATACTGCCTCTAGAAAATATCTTCCCCTAACTGTGCCGTTTTCACTCAGATTTCCTACATGAAATCAGTGGGAATGCCACAACTGAAAGTATCGCTTCCTGCATAAGGATGGCAACATTTGAGATTCTCTGACTGTTGGATGACTAACTGGTATTTTGAACATGGCAGTATCCTTCAACTTACAGGAATAAGGACCATCCTCAAAGCAGAGAAAAAATGCTATTAATTTTGTACTATTTAATATATTGAAAACTGTGAGAGTGAGGATACATAAATGCACCTGTGCAGGGAGTGTACCTGTGTTTTCATTTCAAGGATTAGAAAATTGTGAATAATAAAGGGAAAGTTTTTAAAAGAAGGGAGCTGTGTGGCAGTTCTGTTCACCTGTAACACCTCCTGGGACATACAGTGACATTCTCCCTGGGTCACGCACAGGCCTCCTGTAGCTCAGGTGTACAAGTTTCATTTCATGACAGTTGGCAAGCAAGAGATGCACACCTGGAACTTAGATACGGGGTCATGATGTCGTCACCATCCACCCTTGGGTCTGGGAATGCAGAAGGCCTGCTGGTTCCCTGATCTACACAGAACATCTGGGGCTCACAGGGGTGTGTTGCTCTTCAAGGTTTCTCTGAATTGCCAGCCCTTTAGCAGTGTGGTAGAATCCACAGCACTAATCCTGTTTTCACTCTGCCAGCCAGTGGTTCTTCTTGGTAAAGAAGAAAAGCCCAAGTGATAGGAGAAAGTATGAACACTCAAAGTAGGTGTGAAGTGTGGGATTATGGAGTTGCATTTGTTCTCATCCTAACTTGCAATGGCAGAGGCTTGGAATGGCAGAATGGCATATGTCCCTCTCTTTGCAGTGAGTCTCAGAGAAATTACGCTCCAGGTTGGAGTCCTGGTGTGCATCCACACTCCAGAGCTACCTCTGCCTTCCTCAGCTTGAGCTGGTAACAGCTCTTTTGTTGGAGAGTCGTGGTTGACAGGTCCTGCACAAGCCTGGGTGGATGACTGGCTCTGGAATAATCATGTACTGGAGGAAACATCTCATGACAGGGAACTGAAAGTAGAATGAATGTTCACATGCAGGGTACTTGTCCCTTAAGCAAGCTCTTAAATGGCAAGACAGCAGTGGAGCCAACAGACGCACTCTTGCACCTTCAAGGGTCTGTGACTCAAAAAGCTTTTCTGCATCCCACTAGGAAAAATTGAATTCTCACCTCCCTCACTGTTTGGCTAGATGTAAACATAGCAGCTGTGAATCCATCTGCTTCATCACAGCTCTCACTGCCTAGTTCACTTTTAGGTAAACAGATAGAAGAAATGCTTTATTATGAAGGTGGTAAGACACTGACACAGGTTACCCAGAGAAGCTGTGGCTGCCCCATCCCTGGCAGTGTTCAGGGCCAGGTTGGATGGGGCTCTGAGCAACCTGGTCTAGCTGAAGGTGTCCCTGCCCATGGCGGGGGGTTGGAACTGGGTGAGCTTTAAGGTCGCTTCCAATCCAAACCATTATATAATTATATGATTCTATGAATTGACCATGCTTAAATGAATATATGGAGAGCATTGCCTCTGGATGTGTTTGCAGTCAGTGACTACTGACTTACGGCTTGTTGGACAACATCCAGCATTTAAACACTACAAATGCAAACAGGTAGTAAACATAAAGAGCTTCTAGATGCCATGGTAGGGTTTTTTTTGTTCAGCCTATGTATTCCTGGGACACTTGTGAGCAACAGTGGGAAAACCAAAACTAAGATTTTGATGGACTTTTCACCACTAAAAGATTATATACATATAAAATAACTCATTGTCTTCTTTGAGCCCATCTATATGCTCAAAAAGATTACAAGGCATGGTAAAATTCTTTAACAGTTACTGCTTTTAAACCTCAAAGATGAGTCTAATTTAATGGCATTTACAAAATGCACGGAACTTTAAGCAAGAAAAATAGGGAAGTTGAAATCAAAAAGAAAGGACTCTAATATCAAAAAGGTGAAAGGAGTTATAAGCTTTAACAAAGACAAAGTTCTGTATCTGGGATGGAGTTAATCCCAAGCAGCCTGGGATGTGCTGAAAAGGGCCTGGGTGCCCCTGTGAGCAATAAGCTCACCTGGAGCTAACAGTCTGCCCTGGCAGCACCAAAGGTAAAGGATGCCATGCATCAGCAAAGACAGAAGTATAGTACAGACAGTAGGTCAAAGATGTCCTGTTTTCATCAGCTGAGTTCAAGAGAGACATTAAATAACAAGAGAGATCCTGCCACTGTGGTGGTAAGAGGGTTGGAGGAATTTGGTTTGCTCAGCCCATAGAAAAGAAGACTCAGGGAGATCTGATCACCTAGAGGTAGTTGTAGAGAAGATGGGGCATGCACAGTGGCAGATTAGCCAATAGGCCCAAGTCTTTGCATGTGAAATTACATATAAATGTAAGAAGAATGTTCTGGAGTGCAATTAAACACTGAAAGAGATTGACAAGAAGCGGTGGTACCTCCTGCACTAGAAATACTCAACTCCCCTTGAGGGCACTGGATAACCTAATCTCAGACCTGCTTTCAAGAGGAAGGTTGGCCTAGATAAAACTCCAGAGATCCCTGCCAACATAGACTGTCCTGTGCTAATTCAGGGAAGAAAGAAGGAACTCGGAAGACAAACCACAGGCTGAAGAAAGGCTTTGATACCTTACATAGCATTGACTCTAGGTCTTTGGCAGAATGGAGGGAGAAAGATACGAGGAAATGCATTGTTTTCCATCTCCATGCACGTCTCCCAGTAGCTTCCCTAGGGATGGTAAGCTTTAGAAGCCGAAAGTAACAGGTGTAGTGCTACAGCACAGTATGACCCATGTGGTTATAGAAGAGTGTTAAAACCTATCAGCAGCCTCAGAGCAACACACTCTGTATGGCAAGCCCTGGCTCTCTTAAAGGGACCAGCAAGCACAGGCCTGTACCCTAGGAGAGTATTGGGTGCCAGGTATAAGCACTCTTAGGAGATCATATTTCCACTGTACTGAGTCTCCTCATAAAACTGAGAGCTTTGAGTGCATTCATGCAGCACACAAATTGATACTTTAATCCCTCTCAGAAATGAGAATATCTTAATGGTTGCTTTCTTATATATGTTAATGGAGGAGGACAAATTGCTGCTAGTGAACACGGTAAGTCTAATTCTTCTGTAGAAACTCCAGAGAACGGAATTATTTATCCTTAGTTTCTTAAAAATTAACTTGCAGTTTAGCTTTAATAATTTCTGGTAATAAAAGTATGGTAAGAATATCGTTTCAAGCAACCTGCACTATCATTCATTTTCTTAATTTCTCCCCTCTCTGTATTACACATCTGATGATAAAAGGAATGTTACACTAATACTTCTTTTGCTGGAAGTTCATTTAATTAGGTGCATGTTTTAATGTACTTGTTTTATAGAGACAGTAACTTACTTAAGGGGCTTATCTCCACTCTGGAGAAAGGCATAACTTTTTCTTCTTCAGGAAGCAAACACTCATCTAAATCGGACTGTCAGCTTCTTACAGGCTTCTGCTGCTGCTTTGTTTTCAAGCCGTCTTTCTTGAGAGGTGGCTACATTGTTCCAGTCAACATAGGAAAATTCCATTACAGATCTTGCCATTGCCCGAAGTAAAACGGCATCTTCAGGGTTCTCAAATGGTTCTCTGCAAAAAGAACAAAGAAAATGTGCATTTTCTGAATGCTTCTGAACTACTTTGGAGCTAATTTATTACATGCTCCCTGTGTAGAAAGTGAAGGTAGAAGTCATGGTGACCCTAACTGTGAGGATCTGAAAACGTTACATTTTCAGAAGGTTTCCTTCTTTTACCAGATTTAAGAAAGCAAAACAAAATAAGAAAAGGTCAGAATCACAGTATTCTAAGGGGATAAAAAATCATGCTATTAATTATTTAAAATGCATTTATAGTAGACTTAAAAATGCTATTTTGTTTTCACTGCTTTCTCTCTCCCCCCCCCCAAGAAAGAAATTGCTGTACACTTTTAATGCTCTGATTCAACAGAAATCATAAAACTAATTTTATTATATCATAGCAATATGATATCCATTAATGCAAATGCACTTTTATTTCACGATGGATCTTTCAACTATCCATGATGCAAATATTATTTCTCCAAGCTCTGAATCCGTGACAGTGAGCTTGTGTTGTTCCTGTATCCTGCCACAGCTGCAGTCTGGGAGAAAAAAAAGTGGCAAATGCACAACATCAGTGCAGAATTGAGAAGGACTCCATGTTAGACCAAACACTTTTCACTCAGATGATGCAATATTAAAACCCGATCTTATAAGAACTTATTTCTTAAAGATGTACCTGTAGTAACACATAACTAATATAAACCATCTCCACCGAGTGTAACACTCTGCCATGACAAAAGCCTAAGCATCTGCTTAAGTAAGATGGAGAGGAAGCTGTATACCCATTCTATCAATAAGGACAACTAACTCAACTGGAAGCAGGAAACAATTTTTAAACATTAAATAGCTTGACTGGAAAGAGCTGTACTCAAAGTGAACAGCAATATAAAATTAAATTGTTAAAGAGTATCATCCCATGTAGGCTTTATTATTTCCTTTAATAAATGTTTCAGATATTTTCACATGTAAATCTAGAATGTAAACCCAAGCCTGATATCTGAATTTTTATAAACATAGCATCTAAAATGTCATCACATTAAAATGCAACATTTATGCTGCTTCAATCCAGACACAGAGATGAGTTTTACATTTATTTCTAGGGTTTTGAAACTGAACAGAATACATGTAACATCAAGTAAAGTCTAAAAATGTTTCATTCTGTAAGTCCTAATATTTTCCAGAGAGTATGTATGTTAAACAGCCAGTCAGGAGAAAGTTTTCTGGGCCATAATATAGAACAGCTATTCTAATGTTCTAATACTTAAAGCATGCTTTTTCCTGTGTTCAGCATTTGATCTTATAAATAAATAGCATTTTTATATACCCATTTCCAAATGTGCAATACCTTTCGATATTAAATTTCAGACAGCAGTGGGTAGGTTGTCTGATCACAACAGTATACAGTTGCAACTATGTTACATATGAAGCCCGTAAATTTGTTCAAAAGCTCATTTTTCCTGGCTGTATCCTCTGGTGAGGGTATTTTTTAGGCACAAGAGAAGGAAATTAAATAAAACTTCAGAGATGCAAAAGAAAAAAATCCAAACATTCACTTACTTATTTCTCTGATTTCCAAATTCAGAACCTGTAACAAAAAGTTCAAATGAAGACATTAATGGCTGTACAGCATTTCCATTAGCTGAGGATTATGACTGCTATGACTTTAGGACATCCTACTCCTAAAGTACTTGTTCAAATGAACCAAAACCTAGCAGATGATGTGAAATGTTCAAGATCATATTTAATTAAATTGCTATGGAAACAAGTATCTGTAAGGGTTTTTTTTTAAGTGTATGTAGTCCTTGTGGTTTATTTCCCATAAACATACATTTCCATGCCTCTTTTTTGTTGTTGTTGTTGTACTTTCACAGAAAGATGATGACACTGTCTATATACATGAAGGATGGCATGGTAGAGATAAAGACAATTGTATGCCTACGCTGAAAATTACCAGCAAAATAAGCCAATTATTCAATATGATTAAACTATCTTTTTTTCCCCAGCCTTCTCAAAACTACTGTTAAATCCACTTTTCTCAGGTTTATTATTGTGAGATATAAATTAAAAAAAAAAAAAAAAAAGCAGGTATTTTGTTACTGTTCCAGACTTCATCTACACTACTGGTTAAAATGTCATCCATGCGCAATACTGTTTTCTTATCTTTAAAACATCATGATAGCAGGTAAGATTGTATGGGATTGCAGGGTTTGTTCTGGGTATCTCCTGTGGTACAAGTCACAAGGTTCCAGGTGGTATTCACCTACTTTCTTGTGCCAGGATCATGCTGTCTTTCAGATCCAAATATTTTAAGAATTTTAAAAATTACTTTATATGCTATTATAAGACACCATTAATATAGTCTCAATCTTGGAAAGCATAAAAAGGAATCTGCTTACAAAACCAGTCAAGAAATGTAAAATTAAAACCGCTGTTTAGAAGGAAATAGCTTTCTTCAAGAGATTATTTTACAAAAGCACTAGGGGGCATCAGAACTCTGTGATGCTGGTCACTGAGGCTCAGCCTAGAAGTGTATCGAGATGCTCTGAACTAAAAAAAAGTAAACACAAGACGCACGATGGGAAAAATAGTGAAATTTTGCTTGTTCAGCTACCTTCAAAGACAACTCTGTAATTCGAGAGAGTAGAACTCATTTGCTACAATACTCATAGTAGATGGATTCATTTGCTGCCTATTGCTGGTACTACTGCTTACTTCCTAAAAGAAATTGGTTGAGTTCCTGATTCATTTGTACTTTATTACTAGAACAAACAACTTTTTATCAGATGAAGAAGAACCTTTTCTAATTCCAGTCACCTAAATATGTATGCTTTTCTTTATGTTAGTATAAATACCTGAGGGCATCATCACTCTTCTGGCTGGCTGAGTGCATCTGCTAGATTCCGCTGTAGTCTCCAGGGGTGTATCTACTCTCTTCCCAAAAGCTATGGACTGCATGACACCAGACCTTTGGTAGTGATAAAGATGAAGTGCCAACTCCCTTTCTCTTTGTGTAACTGCTGTTAAAAGGGACATACATAAACATTTTATTTCCCTTACCAGCTGAAAAAGCTGGCACTATTCATCTGCATGCAGAAGGCAACTCACTTTTTTTTTTTGTGCAGACTGTTGTAACAATAGCAATGTAAATCTACGTAATTTCACAACAATTCAAAATTGGAACATGGGCTAATACTTCCTAAGGCTTTAGGGTGAAACCCTATCCAATAAAATGAAGTTTCTTCTTTTGAGTGCAGTAGGATCAGAAGTTTTAAACCAAGAAACTAGAAAGCAAGACTTTTCATACCATTTAAATGAGATCTACTGCAGAAGTCAGTAAAGATTTGGAAGCTTTGTTATAAATAGCAAAAACAAGTCCCATGTCAAGGCCAGTTCAGTTCCATTGTTTGTTTACAGAGAAAACTGTTGGAGTGCAATTAAAATAAAACCTTCAAACTTTCTTGTTTTGCATTTAATTCAGTAATATTTTTAATTTTTAATAAAGAGTTTGAAAGCTTTAAGTCAAGTTAGCGATGTTAATTTCAACGATATAAACTGCATACTAATGCAGTACTTTAGCTATGGAACAGAAGTGAGCTAAAGGTTTAGAACAAGTAACTCTGGCAGAAGCATTCTGAATTCAGGGAAGTTCTGAAGTCATGGTGTCTAGGGGACCAATTAGGAAGGAACTGCAGTAGTCATGCCTGGAGGTAACAGAAGCGTGAGCACATGTCTTGAGTAAAGGAGACGGCCAGGACTATGCTGTGGTAATGTTCCACAGATGGGGAAGAAGCTTTGTAATGTTAGAGAAATAGCTCACTAAATAGAAAGTCCAAGGTACAGTCTGATGCAAATTAATGCCACAAGTCTTAATGCAGGACTTATTACAGTATAAGTGTATTTAGAAGGTTAAGTCCAGGAAGTTTTACGGAAGTGTTTCTAGAGCTGTAAATGCAACACACATTTTCCAACACATTAAGCTTCAGTCTTCACTCCCTAGCCAAAAACAATCATTAGTAAAACAGTCTGACAGACATGCTAAGAACAGGTCTAACACATCATCAGATATGCAAGAGACTGATGGAGGTACCAGTGCAAAATGAATGTGGAAGCAAATGGCCACGCGGTCAGATCCAGCAGCTGTGGTCCATCCACCAGCTTTCCTTCACAACAAAGCTACACAACCTGCCAGCACCTGCGATGTCCTGGGGCTGCCTTGCTCAAGTCCTGCATTCTGACTCTTAGAGACTTGGGAGCAGGCTTTCAGGATGACACTGTTTTTTCTTGCTACTTTCTTATAAGATAGTACTGGGGTAGGAATCAACAGAGCTCTGTTTCTCAGAGCTCTCCAGTAATTTTCAGTCCTCCTGCCAGTCACACAGCTTTCCAAACACCAGAGACAAAAATCACCAAAGACGATTTTCTGGGTCCACTGAGGCATGTTTATGGATTGTCTGATTTATCATCTGGCTGTTCTTAACACATTCCCCCCCCCTTCTCCCCCTAAAATTTACAGTAGACAAACTGTGAAAAATCTCTTAGTGATTTATGAAGACATACTTGAAAACTTGGTCAGCACGAACCTCACCGAGAAATGTGATATAAATATTTAAACTGTACAGAAACACATAGATAGCTGAGGATATTACCCATATCTAAGTAAACTTGCTCACCAATGTGCATATACCAGTTTGAATGCACAAATGTAGGTACATGTTTCTAAGCACAGGCTTTTATCTTTTACCCAGAACTATACAGACCAAGATACAAGACAAACATGCACAATTTAAAAAGGCATAAATCAAAAGCATTTGGCAAAGTAAACTGTTTATGCTGTGAAAATCCTATTACCTTGACAAATCTTGCAAAAAACAAATTGGTATTTGTTCTCTAGATCTTTTACTATATCAATAAAAGCATGCAAAAGAACAGGCAAGATTAATTCACCTATTCTTCCAAACTGATTAAAATCAAAAGCAACTGCCAATGCTTTGGGAGAAAAGGAAAGCAATCCTTACACTTCCTGTCAAGGAGCTGTACTGAAAGGAAGGAGATGTATCACATAAAGCCAGTAGCCTGGGTCTTGTGCCAGTGAGTTATGGAATAGGTCTGCGAAATGTGTACAGAAAAAAACAAGCAATGTCAGAAAAACCCAAATCCAGCAAAAGAAAAACAACTAACTTCACAAGGTAGGAAAATTAAAGATCACTCTTTTAGCCAAAAAAATTTGTACAAAGCATTATCAAATTGTTCTTGCACTGGGTAAACAAAGCAGAGTCTCTTTACATATGCAGAATTCCTCAACTAAACATGGACTGCAAGCATTGGCTTACTTCAGAGTATGCAAAGTCCCACAGGCAAGAACTGAGTAGAGGTGCCATCATGTACTTCAAACCTTTGAAGGCGGGTTTTTTTCTATTTTTTTATGATATAGAGACAAAACCACTAAGTGCTTGCCTTTGATTGTCTTACGTATTGTTAGGTGATACCTATTTTAAATAACAGTAGTCTTTTAGGTGTGACAGTTTAAAGATAAGACACAAAATTTGTAAGGGGAGTTATTAAAACCGGGGGAGCCCTAGGTCACCTAAGGCTTCATCATAGATGATACAAAGTTTTCGTGCCACAGACACAATATGCAATGTAAATACCCAGTCTCCTGATGTTTTGAGAGATGAGTTTGAAAAATCAAGAAACTTCAAGAGTAAAATGTTTAAAAGGGCCTAAGTTCCTCAGAACCTGTGTCCTAACTTCCACGGGGACTTGAGGTACGAAGCTCCAAACACCTGTTCGGAACTTCACTAAAATACATTCCCATCACCTGAATAACCAAACCTTTGCAAGGCAGAGACAGGTATCAATCCTGTGCTGCTGCTTTGCCAGATGTGGAACATTAGCCCAGCTGACATGCCAGATCAGTTTGTTTCATAAATGATCTAATGTTGATTAAAATAGAAACTGCTCAATCCCAGATCAGCAAACAAACAAACAAAGTGTGTTGGGTGGGGGATTTTTTTCCTACATGAAAAACATAATAATGCTATTTTTCTTCTTATACAAATGCTGTTTGTCTGAGACAGTAAAAATAATCAGGAGGCTGCCACCTTGAAATCAGAGCAGGGAATGAAAAATCTTAAATTAATAATTTTGACTTCTACCAAGGTCTGCACTGGTCTGGTTTTCTCTTTTTGAGGAGAGGCTGTGACTCATATTCACTCTAGGGTAAAAAATCCTGTTATAGGTAAATTTAGCAGTTTGGGAGAGAAAGATGATACTACAGAAGCATGTAAGAGGTACCAGAAGAAAGAAAAATGTCTGTAAACATTCCACACAGACTTGTAAACTACAAGGTATTATTTCATGTTCTTCAGGGTAAGTATGACTTCTGAAGAGGGCTTAGTGCTTGATGGCATTTAGCAGTTATTTTGAGGGTGCAGTAAGGCTGGAATGGGCAGTTGGTATCTCCTCCACAGAAAACACCTGCTCATGTTTCAGAGAACTTCACATATTTTAATTCTTTACCAGACTTTTAAAAAATCACTGTACTTAGTAGTGAGAGACCCACAAGGTGGCAGCAAAAGAAAGTTAATTTTTACCCAACAAAGTAATACAAACCTATTTTTTTCTAGGAAGCGTTGATCAGAAAGAATATTAGGCATATATGTCTGTCCTTGAGTCAAGAAAGTATGTGATAGCACTCCAGAGAGGAAAATGTTTCCCAAAGCAGGTATGTTTGATAGAGGGATGGAATGAAGATTCAAGATTTTTCCAAGGTACAAACCGGGGTTGATACTAAGTACTTCTGAACCTGGATTCTACATAAAGCATGATTTGTAGGTTTATTTTGGAGTATCTGATTTTTTTCTACTGCTTGTTCTTATAATAAATCCAAGCATTGTACATATCAAGTCAGTCTTATTTTACAAAACACCTGGGATCAATTCTTGGCTCTGCTATCTACTTTCTTGTCAAGGTCATGAAATTTTACTTCCACACATAAGATATAATGTTTTCTTCCTCCACAGTTCTGCCTGTTTTCTCTGTTTGGAGTGTAGGAAAACAGTGTGCCTATCCCACAAGGGGCAGAAAGGAACTACTGCGGTAGAAAAACAGTAAAGAACAAAAAGTTTTCTGAGGTCTAGCAGCAAGATGTTATCAGCTGTGGGCAATAAATCACTTGAGGCAATTTACAGAGTACATAACAAAACTCTTGGATTCCAAAAGGGGGATGTGAGCACAGGGTGAGCCCAGAAAGAAACCCTCCCTAGCTCCCAAAAGGCTGCAGTTGTGAGCATTCCATCCAGTAAATCTTTAGAAGCTGAGTGTCTTCCCTAAATGCCTGATGAAGAATGGTATCCTGCTACAAATCCAGCGCAGGGCAGTGCCTAAAGTCACAAGAGAGCCTTAAGGAAGAGAAATGCAACATTTTAGCAGCTGGATGCTACTTCTGAAGTGAACAATAACAGTGTATTAGACAGCTCCATTTTAATAGTTCTAATGTCCCCAAGAGCTACAAAAGAATAAACTGTATTATGCAAGCAGGAGCTCTGCTGAAGGCCAGCAAGTGCTTTTTTTTTGTTTTATCGCAATGTCCAGCAGTAAAAAAAAAAAAACAAACCACTCACAACAGTGAGAACTCTTCCATCCTCAAAACAGTTTTTATTCTACAGAGGTGATTTATGGGTGCAGCTGTTTTCAAAGGCACACAGTGCAAGTTCTGTACCTATTTCACGCTTAATATTGCAAGTAAGCATATTAATGATACAGTGATACGCTACATAGCATATGACTTAAAATTTATCTTAATTTACTGCTGTAATTTGCTTCAAATATGAAAGCATATTGTATTAAACCAATAGAGTCCTGCTAATTTGAGAACTCATTATTATGAAATCTCTTAGAAACAAACACGTTGACAGGTTTTTTCCTGACTAAAAAGGTCAGAGGGAAGGGCTGTAAAGTTAATACTATGTGTTTACTCTCAGATCTTTAAACAAAAGAACCATTTCTATTTTTTTTTTTTTTTTTTTTAAATCAGAGTAGACTGGTACATTCTATGTACTGTTTGATAGTTCTCAAACACTTGCTTTTCTATGGCCGTGACCAGTCCAATGTGCAATTTTCACTATGCCTTTGTAACTGCCATTAACAGTAACTTGGCGGCACTTTATCTCCTATTTGTCTTTATTTCCCACAAATGGTTGCAACGAATATGACAAACTCCCTGTTACTTGTTGAAGCTCCCTATTAATTTGTAGGGCTATAACATTAAATCCAAGTGACTGCACCATTCATACATGGATGTCTGTCCAAACTTCCCCATATCACTTCAAACAATGCGTTCTCAAATAGACTAAGTTTACTTTTCAAGCCATATTTTCCTTTCCTGCAATCAGACATTCAGTTTTCTGAATGCATAAGGAGGTATGGCTTCATGACATTCACCTCCGTTAACTGCATCACTAAACTTGCCTCCCATTTTCTCAAAGTATTGAGCATTTGACATGACCTATGATGACGTTCTTTCAGGAACCATGGAAAAAGACTGCTTATATTTTCACTTTCAATAGGTTTACAGCATATAATCCTACTTTCCCTGGAGGCTCCTTCTTATGCTGTAATTTAGCAGAGCCAACACTCTCTTGTATAACTTCATTTGAAACTTCAGACGCTATGCTATTTTTATTTCCAGCCTGTATGCTATTTAACAGATAATGTTATACTTACAGTATATATCTAAATATATAATAATATCTAAAGTGTATTTATTCTTAGACTCTAGAAATCCCCAATCTGCCAAAAAGATGCAGAAAGTAAGTGCTGTGAGCAACAGAATTAATGAGACAGAAGTCTGGGTTCTATAACCTATCGTGCATAATCTCAACAGTAATAACACCCATTTCTCAACTCCACCTCTATGATAATCTCATGCTCCCATTTGCTCTGACAAAAAGGCATCACTAAACTGCTTTGACTGCCTCCAAGCTACTCATCCAGCAGACTGGCTAGCCAGCAGCCAAAAGGAGTTAACTTCTGAACTCATTTGGCAGCTTTTTCTTAGTTGAGGTACTCTCTGTGGAATTTTCATGTCTTACAGATAGATCTCTTCTGTCAAATTTGGCTAAAAATTATAATTAGCTTCAAAAGCTATTGGCAAATGATGCAGAAACAGAGAAGAAACATCCTGATTAAGAAACACTAAAAAACTACTGCTCACTGTTCTGCAAAATAAAAACAAGGTATTGCTCAGGGTCTGCAAGTTTATCATTCCTTTCAATCCCTTCACTGTTTTGCCAAGGTTTTTTAACTGGTTGTTGTGAAGAAACAGAACCTGTAATACACATAAATGTTTCAGAGCGCCTGAAATAAGATGAAAAATAATGAATTATTCTCACCATACCTGACTGCCTTTATTAGATAACTATTTTGTTATGCTGCACACTGAATTTTATATTCTAGTTATCAATCTATGCGGGCCTTCTGGTAACAACTTGAATGAGTTAGTTATTCTTGGAGATTCCAATATTGCTTTCATCTTTCTAGTCACACCCTTCAAGCATATGCCACACTTTTTTCACTCTGATTCCTCCCATTGGTACCCATCACTCTTGCCTCAACAAATCAGCACCAACTGTTTCTTCTCTTCTGCTTCCCTTCTATATCCCAGTAACCTTTCATTAATTCATTACTTCCTTTTATCCTGACCTAATATTACCTTTGCCTCACAAACAATAGTATATACCTAATACTACCTTTGCCCACAAGCAATAGTAAATTCCTTATAAAATAGTTTAATTTCAAATCATTATTATTTTAAAGTCACTAAAAAATTTTGTTGTGGCTGACGCAGACTATATGTGTTCACATCCTCACACCACATCAGGCTGAACAGCATTTCCCATCCATATTTCTCTACCAATGATACTTTCTCTTCTGTTTGCCACATTTTGTTATTTTCTGTATTGTCTCTGGTGTTCGTGTTTCTTCCAAACATCTGTTTTCCTCAAAATGTCACAGAAACTAATCAACATCATTTCTCACCCTGAGATGAGAAAGATGCCAGATATAGTGTAAGCATTCTACACATCTGAAAGTGTAACAAAGCAGGAGGGTGACAAAGAAATGGGAACAAACCAAGTGATACACTGTTTTTAACCCATAACAGCATTTCTTTTCCCAGGGAAAGTGAGTCCCACATACTCAGCAGTTAGCAGAAATCCTGCTCAGAACACAAGAGGAGAAGATTGGCATCTGGGGACACAAACCTTAAAGGAGAACTGCTTTGCAGGTGTGGTATGGATTGTGAAGCCATAGGGCCAGAGGAGCCAAGTACATAAATGTACATTTCTTAATATTTTTCATATTAGTGTATCTTGTGAAAGTTTTTGCCTTTTTTCCACTCCTGTCCTCAGATAAACTTAGTACTCACTCATATTCAGTAAGTCTTGCTTTAAATCAAACTGTGCATCTGCTGAGGCTGGAACGATCTCCAATGGTCCAGCTGGAGTTTTGCGTTTAATTGTGTATGTAACACTCTGAGCTTGCCAGTGTACCCTCAGTAACAAATTGCCTGCTAACCAGAGAATACTAGTGAGCTGTCAAGTCATCCTCTTCATCATTCTTTAAATAAATTTTTGATTTTCACTAGAATAATTATAATGATCTTTATTTGACAAATTTCAATTGACATAATAAAACTTTCCTTGTGGACTTTAATACATCACAAGACTAGAGCGAGTGTTTCAGAAAGAATTAGCAGGATTGATAAAAATTAGCCTCATATGATCAGCCTAAAAGGATCTGCTTCTTTTCTAACTGTGAAGCCTAGCCTCTGGTTGCCCATGTGTTTTTTGTTTTCAACAAACCCTCCAGGTACAAACAAAGGGGGAATGGCCACAATTATCTTGCATTTGAAAAATAAAAATCTGTCAAGACTAAACCGTACAAATTCGAGATGCTGTATTTTTATTTTCCTGTATCTATGAAAATCAGATTATCCCATGCTGCTACTTTGTTAAACTGGTTATTTGGCTTCCTCAAATAACTCATAAAAACAAACCCTGCAAATACGCACATGTAACCAGAAAATACAGTACTGCAAGTAGCAAAGACAGGGAGATGAGTGTTGACAGGACATACAGAGCTCTTACAGAGCTACTAATTCTCCTGTGTACCTCTGAATACTGTTTTTCAGGTAGCAAAACCAAAATTTCCTCATATTCTTTGTCACTGCTGTTCCATACCTGGTCTACAGGTTTATGTTTTAATTGGTGTTACTCCCTCTCTAGTAACAGTCTCACCCTGACGATCTCCAAGCCTTGATCTGTTGTTTTTTTCTGGTATTAAGGCATTTAATTTGCCCCAGGTAGAGCTTAATTCCTCTAACATTTAAAAAGAGCCTGTACCTTTCTAGGTGCCTTCCAGACTTTGCATGTCTTTCTTACAAACTTATCTGTTTTGGCCTGCAGCACTCTTTTCCTACCTACTGCTAAGTTAATCAATTTTCCTAGGATGACAGCTTTCTGTGTCCAAAAGTACATTTTTTCATGTCCCTTTAACAGTAGTAGTTTTAAAATAGAAGCCCATTCCCTCCTGTTTGATTGACTTTAATTATAATTTTTTTTTTTCATTTTCTTGTTTCAGCCAGCAGAAAATTATGTCAAACCAACAGTTAAAGAGGCATGATCTGATACAGAGATTGGCTGAGTTTCAAGGTTTAAATAAACTGGTATAGAATAAAAGTAATTCACTTCTCTCCAATCATCAAAGAAGCCAGCTTGCACCATCTTTCTCAAAATAGTTTCATGGGAAGACAGATCACTTCTGTATCTGCCATCTGAACATTTCTTTTTATGCCATACCAAAAAAATAATTCAAAGCCAGGGAGGGCACACATAAAGGTGTTTAAAATCAGAAAATGCGATAGGCTTAATTCAGTCTTACATATGCTTGCATTGTTTAGAATTTACTCATTAATTAAACTTCCCCCTTAGATTTTATGTATATTTTCTTCTTTTTAAAATACATATTTTACTAATTATGACAGTAGCTATCCAATTTACATTTTCTTTTTGGAAAGCATCAAATACTTTGTGTAAATCAGAAGATGTGCGAATTTACAGTTACTAGTGGACACATTCAGATTTTTCAAGACCACCCGATTTCCACTAAACCCAAACTAGACGACACCGAAATCCTTTGCCACCTTATTTTATTATTCATAGGACCTAGAAATCTTGAAAGCCTTGTCCCTGAATTACTAAACTACATTAGTTCTTTATATATGATATCAAATGTACAAACAGCAAATGCAGTTGTGAGGCTTCAGACAGGTATGTAACACTTGCAATTATGCCCTGGCCAGAAATTCAAAGTATGTTTTCCAAAAACTTTGAAGTCTGCCCTGTCATGTATCCATCTTTCCGTGGTAGCCTCTCCTCATGCTCATCCTACAACATACACCTCTATCAACCTAGATCACCCACAGGTTCATGAAAGCTTTGCCTTCTTTCACTTACCATGGTTTCTTCTCTTCATCTGCTCTAAATCTTAAGCTGTTTCTTAAAGCTCTCAGAGGAGATCAGTTCTCTGATCAGGACTGCCAGCCCCAAACAAGTGTTCGCATACTCACTTTATGTTGCCCTGCCCTTCCTTCAATTCTTAGTAGTAAGAACGTGGTAATTTCAAAGGTGCTACCAATGAGTTTTACTGTTGCAGTAACAACTTTAGGGAGGTCAGAAATTTGGCAGTTCTTAGACTGGGCAGGTCCTGTGTTTTTTCATTTGCCTTCTTGATACTCTTTCCACCCAGCCTTATGAGCCAGTTCAAACAGGCATAGATCAGCCCATTAAGCCTCACTCCTCTGCTCCCTGTGGTAGAAGCTCATGCACAACCCTGTGAACTTACAGACCCTCAAGCAATTCTGGGATTGTCTATCTAGGGCTGAGGCAGTTAACTATTTCACTGTGAGTATAGCTCTGCTGCGTATGTCAGCAGTATATCTTCACCACTTCTTCCTTCACAACATGATATTTCACATACAGATGATGTTCAGAGATTCTCTGATACAAAAAGTGCTATGAAAAGTTACCATTTACTGTGCGCTTTTCTTCTAGTAAAAGCCAAACTTAAAAACATGTTTTACTTTCTGTCCACCCAGCTACGATACTAAGACATCCACAGTCCTCCTAAAGCTACAGCTCTTCAGATGTTTTTCTACTGCCTAACAGTACACAGTACATTTGTCAGCATAATACACTGCATAATTGTAGACTCATTACAACATATACACATTCAGTGTCTAAATTAATATGCACACCAAAATTAATATATGCATCACAGCACCTTGAAAACTATAACACAGAGAAATAAAGAGATATTAAATCCATGGTCTCTATTTTAAATTGATCAAAATACTCCAACAATTATGTTACACTAACTTTCCTCTCCTGTGGAGAATCGTAGTTCACAGACATGAAGTGAAAAAATAATGTATATTGACTGGAGAACGGTTTTCTCACTCAGGTCAGCCAACCCAGCACAGGTGATCAGTGAGAAAACTGCTTACAGCTTGCATACAGCTGCAACTTCATTTTATGCAAGTTCACTTCATGCACATGACTTTTCAAAATTATGCATCCAGAAAACTCGTTTGTGCATTTTATAGTGAAAAATGTAGACACAACTTTGATTTTCAGAGTATGTTACTGGTGTGCTGTATTTTGTAAAAGGAATGAAACCTAGTCACATAAGGATTATGGAACTCTGTTACTAGTGGTTGACAGAAAGTAAAACGTCTATCAGAAAACAATGGCTTTATTACACAAGTTTTTATGCCCAACATAATTGAGATCACTATTCACAGAATCATAGAATAGTTTGGGCTGGAAAGCACCTTAAGATCATCTAGTTCCAACCTCCCTGCCATGGGCAGGGTCACCTCACACCAAACCATGACATCCAAGGCTCTCTCCAACCTGGCCTTGAACACTGCCAGGGATGGTGCATTCACAGCTTCCTTGGGCAACCCATTTCAGTGCCTCACCACCCTCACAGTAAAGAACTTCTTCGTTATATCCAATCTGAACTTACCGTTTAAAACACAAAATTGATACTTTACAAACACAAAACGGCTTGGAAGCATGATGGCCATGTCTAGAGGGTCCTGTATGGCCTGCACCATCACATCAGCATGTTCTGGGCACACTGAATATACCTAAAATAACTGTGGGTGAGCTTGGAAATGTGCTGAACCTGTGCTACTTCATGAACAGAGGGAAGAAGTAGCTGGGATTCAGTTTCTTATTCCACAGAGTTGATGTTCGGACAGTGGCCATTTGCTCGGTATGACCAGCAGCCTGACTGCAGTTGTCAGGTACATGGGAGAAATGGCTGTATTTTAATTTCTACCCAGGCGAAAAACTGCAGACGGAACAGTTAAGTCCTATCTGGATAACAGTATCTGTGCAACAGCCCCATGTGTGTTGAAGTTCGTCTCTCGGACTGCGGAAGGCACAGGGCTGCCAGCCTCACCAATGGGGAACGCACACCTCTTCTCTGAAGAGAACAGAAATCCCTGGTACTGCGTTAGACAGCCACGGAGACTGCACCCCACAGTTCTATTTCTCAGACTCCGTTATTCAAGATCCCACCCTCTCCCCACCCTGGCAGCCCCCTTCCCAGTCAGCCCCAGCCCTCCACCACAGCACCCCGCGGCCCCAGGCGCCGACAGTATTCGCAGCCGCTCCTGCAGGTGCGCGGCTTCCCCCGGCCAAGTCCTCCCCAGGCAGAGCCGGCTGCCTCTGCCGGAGGAGCCCCGGGGCGGCCCCGCTGCCACGGCGAGCGGGAGAGTCGAGCTCCTCCCTCCCCCGGCAGCACCCCTACACCCCCTTCTCCTCGCCCAGCAGCTAGCTCCCGCTTACCCGGCGCCCTCCGCACAGCGAGGGGGCGAAGCTGGCACCGCCCACCTGTGGGGCCGGGCCCGCGGCTCTGCGAGGGCGGGCGGAGAGGCGGGGGGCCAGGGACTGCACTCAGCAGCAGCCTCGCCACGCCCCGTCCCGGCTGCGGCTCTGGTAGCTGCGCTCACTTGCCCGCCTCCGCTGGCGGTCGCAACCATTTTAGGGTCCCGTTTCTTGTTAGGGGTGGCCGAGGGCTGTCTGGCCTGGCGTGATGGGGACGGTGTCGAGCCAGCGCTAACTCAGAAACAGCGGCACCGCTTTAACACCGAACCGGCAGCCCGAGCCTGCTCCTTAAATCACCGCAGAACTTCGTGCTGGCGGAAGGGGGTGGATGGCAGGCTAGGGGTGCGGCCCTGCGGGAGAGCCGGGCGCGGGCACGGCTGAGGGCTGGGGGGGCAGTCTGCTGGGGCAGTCTGCTGGGGCAGTGCTCGATCACGGTCCTGAGAAAACGTGTGTGCCTTTATTTCCCTTCTACAGAACTACATCCCTGATTGCGTCTGGGGTTTGTGTTTGGTTTTTGTTTGTTTTCAAAGCACAAATCCTATGTGTATGTATATATATATATTCTGTGTGCATATATACGAATGTCACTTACAAAGAAAACACTTGTGACTTTTAATTTACAGCTAATCCACACCGTATGTATCCCTTATTTGCAACTTGCAAATCACCTTGGTGCCAGAGAAAATGCCTTCCGTGCCCACTTCTGGAACAGGCCTGTCGCTGCAACAGCGCGTTTGATTGTAAAGTAACACAGAATGTTTATGACATCCACATGTGCAAGCAACTGTTGCCATGTTGTTATTTTTATAACCGTTTTACTGCATAGCACAAGCTGAAAACCAGAAAAAGGCATTTCCATTGTCTGTGTATGCGTGTGTGCACTTACGGGCATGTAGAACAATAGAAAATGTTTGATCAAGCTACAACAAAAATATGTCTGAAAACTTGGAGCTTTATTTAGAATTTAATTTACAGAGAGCACTTGAGTTAGCAGAAATAGTCACTGTAAATTATGTGCAACTGATACACAAAGAACAAGAGTTGTGTCTGCAAATATATGAATAAGCTGCCCCTCATGGAATTAATTACGTGCATGCCTTTGCTTGTTCAGACCACTGAAACTAGATGTGGTGTGTATGATGGAGGAATGGGGCTGCAGCACGAGTATTATATTGCAAATACCTAATTTTCACAGAAAAAAAAAATGTGTGGGTGGCTTCCATTTCAGCTAGGTAGCTTTAAAAAACCAGAAACCTCAAATAAGACAGACATTTTAAAAGTATAAAACTGACAACAGAGATGTGTTTAATCACTTATTTTTAGCTTCTAAAAATATCTCTAGGGTATTAAAAAACATAAAGGAAATGTACTGGCGAAGGAAAAACTGGTACACAGATCAGTGTTTGTTGCATTTTGTGTTAAAGTTCTGAGTTTTCAATGAGAACGGTAAAGCTGCCACTTCAGAATTGCGAAAGGTGAGATAAAGTCAACTTCCATTATAAAATTATCAGCTATTCCAAATAACATGATAGAACAAGCAAATTTAGTAATCTAAAGTATGGTGAGAGGGGAGACCTTTAGAAGATATTTTGATTCTTTCCAACACAAAGGTGTGACTTACATGGGTTGAGGTTTGTTTTGGGCTTTTGCGGTGCTTGCCTTCATGAGTTAACTGGTAGCTATGGACTTAGTCTGGATGCCTAAATAGAGACTGTTTAAACTTCAGTAAAATTCATCTCTTTTTCTTTCTTGCATCTGCAATTGGCATTTAAAATCCACACCAAGTTTAAAGGAACTTGGACAGAAAATTAGTATTTTTGTATTCAGACTGAACTGACACCATATTTTGCTCTGGTTTGGTGTTGTCCTTTTCCTGAATACGTAACCTATCACCGGTTTAATCCTGTTCCTGGATTGCTGTGCATAAATGAATGATCACTTATCCTTTGGGATATTCAGAATAATGACTATAATTTCAACAACAATAATAATAATAATATTTCTGTATCTACTAGTAAGATTTTTGCTTCATGCAGTGTCCCAAATATTTTAAGTAAAATCTATTTCCACATAGATAACTTAAACTTTGCAGTCTTCTTGGCCCTTATTTAATGCTGAGTGTGTTTCAATGCATCTCCCTGGCAAGGCTTGCATTTTTGCAGTATATTTAGTGTAAAAAGAAAAAGATTGAGCAAGAAAAATAAAATAGTAAGATTGCAGTCACCATTTTTTCTAAGAAATGGATACGATATACACCATTACAGTATGGTACTTGCACAGTTCGTTCGTTTACTATCTTATGCAATTAAATACTTTCAAAGGTTCTGTACTGTATGGCTTTTTCACAAAAGGTATTTTTAAAAACTGCATCTTCATTTTATAGAATCAACTATTTCATGTTGGAAGGGATCTCTGGAGGTCATCTGGTCCAACCGCCCAAGAAAGCAGAATTATTTTCCATATCACAAGTTTGTACAGTTCTGCATACACATACTTACAGAACCCATCAAAAAATAAAAGAATTACGTGGGACAAACTTAAAATTGCCAGTGTTATACTAATGCTACATAAAAGCTAGTAAAATTAACTTGCTTTTCAGGTTGAAAGTAAATTTCACTTGGGAAGAAGTGAACTAAATGCAAAATATAGTAGATCAATGCGTATTTCCTTTTTTCTTCTTGTTACCGGAAATATTTTATCAGTGTTTATCAGAACCCCGAGGAAAGATCAGCAGGATATCCCACCTGCATTCCAGCTACTGCTCCACAAGGGCAGGTCTTCTGTAGGTCCAGTAGCTGCAAGCCCTGTGCAGATGTTTCAAATACTCTGTGCTGTCTAAAGCATTCAGGCATTTGACTTGCTTCTCTGACTGATACTATTAATCTTGCTGATGGCACTGGCAACATCCCAGTGACGCTAACAAGTTCAGGAGCAGAATTTTGGGAGATTTTTTATTCTTCCAGTAAATAATACAAGCTTGACCCTGTATTTAAACAGTTCAGACTATTTTTGATTTGAAGCTAATGATTAACTTGAATGGTTAGACTACTGCCTGGGAAACAAGAGATCTGAATTCTTTAGTCTTTCTAGTATTATGTGTAATATAAATGACACAATGTTACAGAATAGTAAATATCAGGGAAGAAAGCAAAACAGCCTGCATGCAGCCTATGGCAAACTTGTCCCAGCAGACTGCATCATATGGATGGCCTAGCTCATTCAAATCCAGCTTCAGTCTGACTTGACAGCTAAATACTACCCTGGAGAACAAAGACCACCAGTATCACAGATGTGATAGGCCTGGTGGAGAAGAGTTCCAACAGATGTATAAATGCTCTGTCTTACCTTCCTATCAGCACAATCTGGGTGTTTCATTTATTTCAGCATTCTCTGGCCATTCTGTGTGCTGGAGTGTTCTTGCAGTTAAGCTTCCAAGTCTGATTGACAGCCAGAAAAGAAATTCTTGTCTGCTGCAGTGCTTTATGAGTATGTAAACAACATTATGTCCCTGCCCATGGCAGGGAGTTGGAACTAGATCATATTTAAGGTCCCTTCCAACCCAAACCATGATATATGTTAAACGATCCTGTTACTCTGGTCTTACAAATTTACATCCCAATGTTTCAAATGTTTCAATGTTGTATGTGCACTTCCACAATGGTTTGTATCTATCCTAACATATATATACATGCGCACATGTATATATCTCCATTGCTACGATCACATATGCTTTCCAGAACATGATAACTGGAATTTATGTGCAAGTTTGGAATGCCTGAGGCTTCATGGAAGGATGCTTTAATAGAGAAGTTATTTATAAAAGTGTTGCTGTTAGTCACATAAGTAAAACTTCTGTATTCAGTACTTGAAATCAAGTTATTAACATTGTTTGTATTTTTCTGAAAAACATTATGCATGTTTAAAACTTGTAATAGTGCTTCCTAACAAAATTGACCACCTTAGCCTTTAAGTAACAGTTTCTAAAAAGATAATGTTTGCAGAGTTTGCTACATGTAGAAGTCAATACTGTTCTTACTGATGTCTGATGGAAATGTGCCTATTAATTCAGAGACTACTTTGTCACTGGGCTGCCACTGTCCATAAACTCCAGATATAGACAAAAGCCATAAACTTTTCGGTTTCAAATAATTTTTTAATTGTTATGGCTGCCAGAGTAATTTTCAGATGCAAA